TTCTCTTGCCTCAGCCTCCCAAGTATCTGGGCCTTTAGGTGCCCACCTCAATGCCTGGCTATTTTGTTGTTGTTGTTGCAGTTGTCATTGTTGATTTTACCTGGCTTGGGCTGGATTCAAACCCACCAGCCTCAGTGTATGTGGCCGGTGCCCTACCCACTGAGCTGCAGGCGCCGCCCTTTTCAAACATTTTATGCTAACTTTTGGGAAGAAAAAATGGAAGTGGGTCATGTAGAAGAAGTTATATGATATGGTCATCCAGGGCGTGCATCCTGTGCAGTGGCAAGAAGCCCCACATTCAAAAGGGCTGGGCACTCGTCATCGCCTTGAAATTCTCACTAATTTTTCAATTTTTTGACACATTATATTTGCACATATTTATGGGGTACATGTGAAATTTTGATACAGGCATAAAATGTGTAATGATCAGGTCAGAGCACTGGGGTGTCCATCACACAAATATTTATCATTGGGTATGTTTCAAGTCTTCTCTGCTAGCTATTTTGAAAAACATGATACTGTTTTTAACTATAGTTACCCTACTCTGCTATCAAACATTATAACTTATTCCATCTATCTAACTGTATGCTTGTACTCATTAACCAACCTCTCTCTTTGTCCCAGCCTCCAGCCCATACACCATTTCCAGTCTCTGGTGTCTATCACTCTACTCTCGACTTCCATGTGATCAACCCTTTAGCTCCCACTGATGAGTAAGAACATGTGATATTTGTCCTTCTGTGCCTGACTTACTCATATTTCACTTAACATAATGATGTCCAGTCCTATCCAGGGTGCTGGAAATGATGTGATTTTATTCTTTTTTATAGCTGAGTAGTATTCCATTGTGTATATAGACACATTTTCTTTATTCATTCATCCATCACTAGACATGTTTACTCTGTATCTTTGCTACTGTGAATAGTGCTGCAATAAATGTGGGGGTGTAGATGTTCCTTTGATATACTTTTTCTCCTTTGGAAAAATACCCAGTAGAGAGCCTGCTAGATCATACAATAGTTCTACTTTTTGTCTTTTGAGAAATCTCCATGCCATTTTCTATAGTGGCTGTACTAACCAAGATGGATTAAAGATGAAATGTAGGCACTGAAACTATAAAACGACTAGAAGACAACAGAGAGAACTCTTCAGGACATTGCTCTGGCAAGGATTTTATGACTAAGACTAAAAGCAATATATTAAACTAGACAGCAAAATAAAAAAATAAATATAGTGAAGAAATAACCTCTTGAATGGAAGTAAATACTTGGAAACTAATCATATGTCAGAGAGTAATATCCAGAATATATAAGGAACTCAAACAACTCAACTGTAAAAAAAATGATCTGGCCTGCAGTCACTAGGATAAGGCCAGCCTTCTGTGCAGATCACCAATAAATACTTCTTTTTCTTACTAAACAAACAAACAAATAATCCCATTTAAAAATGGAAATAGACATGAATGGATATTTCTCAAAAGAAGACATACTAATGACCTACAAGTATGTGAAAAAAATGTTCAACATCTCTGATCATCAGGGAAATGGAAATTAAACCACAATGAGTTATCATCTCATCCCAGTTAAAATAACTTTTATCAAGAAAGCAATAACTAAGATGTGGAGAAAGGGGACATTTCATATGCTGTGGTGGTAATTCTGAATGAACTTTGAGCAGTGGCCCTGCACTTTTATTTTACAACAAACCCTGCAGATTATACAGTTAGTCTGTGGTCAGTGTCAAACCCTGTTATTTGATAGCGGGAATTAAGAGGAGAAAGTATATCTTGGAATTACTGCAGAGCAACAGTATTAAGTATTTAATGATTAAATGTGAAAAGGATTCAAAAATAAAACTTAAGAGTTTTGTTTTTGACAAAGATGGTGGTGATTCCCACAGGGAACACAGTGGAAAAGGAAATTTGCCTGAGTGAAAAGAGAACAGGTCCATCAGCCAGAGGACCTGGGATTTGAGAATTTCATCCCTGAGGAGGTATAGGACATAGAAAACTGAGTCTAAGTCCTCAGAGCATAAGCATAAACTGTAGTGAAAGTATAAGAAATTAGATGAGATCACAAAGGAGTAAATGCATATAGAAAAGGAAAATAAAAAGGAAGGGTCTTTGGGTTTGGGTCATAACTGAGGGCTGGAACCAGGTTATTTTACTACATTCTATTCTTTATTTTGGGAGCCTTATTTCTGAACCAGGGAGTTTCTCTGGAAGAAAACTTGAAAGACCAAGCCCTGTTTAAGGATGTGGTGTGGGACTGGACGGTACCTCAGAACCTCAAAGGTAATCTAGTTCAACATCTACACTTTGATATTTTCTTATTTCAACAAC